AGGTTTCAGGGTTTTGAAAATTGAGGTGCACATTCATTTCGATGGTGCATTGGATTCAAGTAAATGCTGGTACATTGCTATGACTCCACTTTAGCTATGAAATTCTGGGATTTGTAGTTTGGTGATGCATCAAAGACCTCTGGTTGAGAGTTCCAAATTCTTCTTTCCAAACTGCAAATCCCAGGTTCCCACAGGATGGATCCATGGCAATAAAATAAAATCATTGCACTACAATTGTTTAGTGTAAAAGGGGCCTTGGAAGTATCTGGTGTCAAAATTAAGCATGCCATAAAAGATGGTTACCAGGAAAGACTTTAATGTTAAGTCTCTTTCTGTATGGTAAAAAGAAATAAATTATATATTCAGTAGAACATAGGAGGAAAACAAGTGCAATGATGTAAACTAAACATTTGACCTGTTGCTACAAGAATTATGTTAATGCTGGTGCTGCAAAGTTATCTCCCTTACAAGAAGGAAGTGAGAGCAGACTGTGCTCTTGAGATTATAAATAGTCAGCTTTGCTCAGAGATAAAGGATTTAGGGAGAAAGGGTTAGTGAGGAAAGCAAGATAGACTTTCTAGGCCATAACTGTACAACTTGTGACTGACTAAGCCACAAGATGCCGGTAAATTTCCTAGTTTTGCTGTTGACTAGGGTAGCAAAACTAAAGGCATTCTACAGCATGTGGCAAAGCTTCAGGAGTGGTTGATGGGTTAGATCAATCTTGATGAGTTACAAACTGAACAGGATGACAGCAAAGTAAGTAAAGTTTGGTACCAAGAAAAATGTATATGAGAGAGGAAAGAACAAGTCAAAGTCCTGTGCCATTTTAACCAACATTTTATTTGTATTTTTTGTCGTATCAGGAGCGACATGAGAAACTAACATCATTTTTACAGAATGAACTTTTGCAGATGGCCTTTTAAGATGCCACAGGACTATATATTTTTGCTTCAGTAAACTAGTATGTTTATCCTTTTGAAATTGTTAGAATCTATATAAATAAAAATGTAATGTTCGTTTGTGAGATTAACAGAACTCAAAAACCACTGGATGAGCTGCCACCAAATTTGGACACAAGACACCTAACAACCCAATGTATGCCCTTCACTCAAAAAATTGATTTTGTTCTTTGGGAGTTGTAGTTGCTGGGATTTATAGTTCATCTACAATCAAAGAGCATTCCAAACCCCACCAAGGATGGAATTGGGCCAAACATGGCACACAGTTCTCCCATGACCAACAGAAAATACTGGAAGGTTTGGTGTTGTAGTTCACCTACATCCAGAGATCACTGTGGACTCAAACAATGATGAATCTGGACCAAACTCTACATGAATGCTCAATATGCCCAAATGTGAACACTGGTGGAGTTTGGGGAAAATAGAATCTTGACATTTGGGAGTTGTAGTTGCTGGGATTTATAGTTCACCTATAATCACAGAATCCCACCAATGATAGAATTGGGCCAAACCTCCCACACAGAACCCCCATGTGGGCCACAGCAATGCATGGCAGGGGATGGCTAGTAGAATATATTTCACCAATGTCACCATTTGACCATCACAAAAGTTTGTGAAATGGAAAGTTAGCATGTCACACATATCTTCATCCAAAGAGATATAGGGGCTGAATAACCACAGAGAGAGATGTTCTAGTAACATTTCCTTGTGTCTGGAGATTTGGGAGTTGAATTGCCAATCTCATTCTTTCAGAGCCACAAGTCAGGACTTGTACAGGGAGTATGTTAATAATAGACATCTTTCATCTAGTACTAAAGGCTCCCAAACATACCTATCAGTGTTTACAATCTTAATGGCAGACAGAGTGAGTAACACAAACAGAGAGCATAGGGAAGAAGGTATATTGTTGATAACACAAAGTTTTACCAAAAGACATTCTTGAAAGACAGAAAGGAGAAACTCCACAAATCGAAGCCACATTCACACAATAGTAGAAAGGAATTATTCAACAGACTGTGAGAGCCATTCAGCAGTGCAACTCGCTGCCCCGGAGTGTGGTGGAACCTCTTTCTTTGGAGGTTTTTAAACAGAGGCTGGATGGTCATCTGTCAGAGGTGCTTTGAATGCAATTTTCCTGCTTCTTGGCAGGGGGTTGGACTGGATGGCCCTTGAGGTCTCTTCCAACTCTATGATTCTAACTGACATCACATCTTTGCAACATGAGAGAGTCATAATTACAAGATGTGTATTTCTACTAATCTCAGACTTTGGGGACCCTTGTATGAGCAGTCTTTTATGGCGCCCCTCCAAATGCAATCAGTTCCCAAGTTATGAAGAAGATGGTTCTGTAGGTTTGTTCTTCAATTTGAATTTGTTTGTAAGTTGGAACAGGAGCATTTTGTAAGTGTCACTGCAGCCAAAAATATATCTTTTTAAAGCTTTGGATAGTATAAGGAAGGGTTAATACCCCTGTAGTCTTCGTTTTGCTCTCTGTGCCCCTATTCAGAATATTTCACCACACTTTCTTTCCCTGTGAGAATTCATTTTTTTAAAAAATGGTTTGTTGTGCAAACAAGGATTGGTGATAAAGCTTCGATGGAGACATCTTTTCCCTCATGATAACTCTTTCAGGATCACCTTCCTAGGGGTGGATTTCTCTCACTTCCTGTTGCCTCACCTGTTCTTAACTATGAGTCATTTGTAAGTCGGCTGTTTGTAATTCGGGGACTGCCTTTATGAGATACCATTTTCTCCTCTGTTATTGCTTCTGTTCCTCACTTGACCTCTCTCTCCTTCTCCACAGGGCAACCAAAGTGGCAGTAAGTCACCGTCATCTTCTCATTTATTACCACCAATCCAGCCAACTCAATGAGTAAAAAATCCAGCCAACTCAATGAGTAAAAAAAGTGACTAGGTGAGCAGCACCAAGAAGGAAGAGCAAGACATAGCTAGTACCCAACACTGAAAGAACGGTGTTATCTCAAGAATAAAGTCTTATCTTCTCACTGTTGCTGTTATCACACTGTAGCTAACCAAATACACAGGCTAAAACCCCAGAGAGAACAGAGCATACACCATGTTATGTTTTGAGGCGATACATCATTGCCATGATTTGCAGATACCAAACTACTCATAGAAAGAACAAAGGCTAATCTACTCCAGAATGCTATTGTTTTCATACGGTGGTCAACCAGATGCCCAAGGGAAATATACAACGATGACATGAACACAACTCTTTTCCACTTGAAATTGTGGTAGATAAAAGTATAAATCTTCTTAAGCCTGAGGTAATATATAGTTGTCATGATTTGTAGCCAACAGTGGTTTCATCTCTTACAAGAGAGGTAAGTGATGGATATAACACCCAGGTTTAGCTCCTTCCATGGGTTGGAGGGTCTGAAGAATCTTCAAGGGGCCTGCTCCATACGCCTTACATTTTCAGATTATTATTTTTATAAAAGTCTCAAAGGACACAGAAAACACACCCAGGGTTTTTTTTTTCCCCAGGAAGTCACATAACTTCCACAATCCCTTACTACTGACCATGTTCTTTGGGACTGGTGGCCATTGTAAACCAAAACAACCAGAAGGTTTCCAAAGTCAAAAGGTTTTCCATCCCTGCATTATACGGAACTTTGACATCCAAAGTATTGTTCACAAGCTCTCAAGTAAGTGACATTTTTGTGTTCATTATAATGCAACACTAAAGAAAAAATTTTATCACTGAAAAACCCACAGAGCTATCTTTCAGCAGCTGTTTACTAGATCATTTGCACTGGCTTGTTGGAGCCTTTTGGCATGCCACACCTTTCCACAATTATGCCAGTCTTGTTATTTAATTGATATGTCAAAGAGATATCAATCATTGTCTCCACTCACAGAGAAATCTACCTTTAGTTATTCAGTTTTCTCCCACAGATCCAAAAGGGGTCTATGGGGGGAAACTATGGGGGGATCCAAAAAAGCAAGCTAAACTTAAGTTCCAGAGTGATTTATTATCAGTGGTTTGAATTAGGATTTCTCCCTGCTCAGGTTGCCTTAGAATTTCATTTAAACACTTCAAGTTCTCTTTCGGGGTAGCCTATACCACTCTAGATATCCCAATTCAAATCTACTGCCATTTTTCATTCTATATAAATGAAGGCCATTGTGATTCTAGAACGAGAAGGAAAAAGAAAGAGATTATGTGACTTTGATTCAGTACTATAATTACAAGAGTTTGAGACATACTGTCATTTACCTGTTAAATGTTTAGAGACGGTATTTTTAGACTATATTTGAAGAACAATAACTGGGCTTTCTTAGACAAGAAATAATCAAAGGAAATTTTGCCAGTCCCCTTTTGGGAAATTTATCCTACACCACCTGATAATCATTGGTGTTCTCCCATCCAAATACAAATTTGGGGTAGCCTGCTTAGCTTCCAAGATCAAGCAAGGTCTGAAACTTTTAACCTATTTAGGCCCTAAAGAATAACAATTATTATATATAGAAACAGCTAAGGCCATGTTTATACTAGTGAATGTATCAAAACAAAATGTTAACGTATCCATATGCTCGCATTTTGGATCTAAAACTGTTTAGTTCTATCTTGCTCCCCTTACACTGTCAATTATGGATAGAAAATATATACTATAATTCATTTAGTTGCCTACCTTACTGGATATTACTATTTTCCAATGCTGTATTTTTTAAGTAATAGCTTGGTAGAAAAGGATATCTATGAACAATTTTAAAGCCTGGAGGTAAACTCTGGGAGAAAATATTTACAAGTGTGGTTGTAGAGTGGAGCTAGAAATGAATGGGTTCAAAATACCCAAAGCTTGCTGGAAGAGGATCCCACTGGCATGCCATTTGACAATTTGTGCTGCTCACAGCAGTTCATATTCCAATATTCAGTGCATTTACCTGGAAGCAAATATTTAATTTCTTTTAAATTAAGGCATAAGTACTATTTAAGGAAGAGAACATGGCTCATTTGGCAAAAGTGAACATTCTCTGTAAAATATATATAAAGAAACGAGTCTCTGTACTTACCCAGAATACGATGTTGTAACTAAAGAGCAGGTATTTGTACCAACAGCTGATTTCAGCAGAAGAATACCGGTAGTAGTGCATCTTTTACGGAACAGTAACTGTATAGAATCCGGAAGAAGAAGAAAAGAAAGGTCTGTTAGCAAAAGGAATGCTGTGACATTCCACTTACTCAAGATACTTCAGTGCAACATAATCATAAGCTAAGCATAATTTCCATTACTTAGGTTCTGTTGGTTACACAAGTATAGCAACTGACTAGTGTCTATACCATTTTCCCTGAAAGAACTTTCCACTGAGTTCAATGGGACAGATATCCAAACAAGCCTTTGTGGAATTGTTACCAAAAGTACATTCACAGCTTGTACAAGTAGGAACATGAAAATGATATAATCCATTTCAAGAAATTCATTATTATTATTTTAAAAAGGGAAAGATTGCCCTCTGTTTGCATGTAAGTTTTTTTAGCTGTCAAAAAAAAAAAAAAACAAGGAAAATTATATATTTTAAACAAACTAGCAGTACAAAGGTCCAAACCAGGGGTCCTCAAACTACGGTCCGGGAGCCGAATACGGCCCTCCAAGGTCATTTACCCGGCCCTCGCTCAGGGTCAACCTAAGTCTGAAACGACTTGAAAGCACACAACAACAACAACAACAATCTTATCTCATCAGCCAAAAGCAGGCCCACACTTCCCAATGAAATACTAATAAGTTTATATTTGTTAAAATTGTTCTTCATTTTAATTATTGTATTGTTCTAAAGTGTTTTTTGCACTACTAATAAGATATGTGCACTGTGCATAGGAATTCATTCATATATTTTTTTCAAATTATAATCCGGCCCTCCAACAGGTTGAGGGACTGTAACCTGGCCCTCTGTTTAAAAAGTTTGTGGACCCCTGGTCCAAACTATCAGCCACTGTTCTTATATTTTCCAACCATCTTAGAGCTGAAGCTTATAGCAGAAAAGATCATCATCATCATAGCAAAAAAATCATTGTAACTTTTCTACAGTATTTGCACTTTTTGTCTGTTATCTCTTATCTCCGAAATACCTGACCAGTATTTCTTATTACTGTTTTCTCCCTTTGTTATGATCCAATTCACTCCTCTCTCAATAAGGAAATGATAATTGATACTCTTGATTTGCTGAGCAAGTAGGACACATCCTTCTTTGGAATTCACAAGGCAGCTTGCACAGGTCAAAATGCCACACAAGCTCTTAAATGACATGTCAGTGTCATGCTATGCTGTGCTAGATGAAGTGTAGCTCTTCACACGCTTTTGTACTGCAACTCTCAGCATTCCTTATCCTTGGCAGTGTTGGGGCCCTTCAACACAGAATATCAAGGCAGAAAATCCCACAATAACTACTTTGAACTGGGTTATCTGAGTCCACACTGCCATATATTCCAGTTCAAGGCAGAAAATGTGGGATTTTATTCAGCTGTGTGGAAGGTGCTTGGTTAACACTAAAGGACGTTGCAGTCCAAAATCTGAAGAACTATGTCTTGCTCTATTCTGAGAGACTATTATTATGAGATTGAATTCAGGCTCCAGCTTCTCTGCTTTCTCAAGATGAATACATAGATGTTCATTTCCATTTTTTATTAACTGTGGCTTGTCCATGTTATACCAATAAACTGGAGTTAATCTTAACTATGGCTTGTTTCAACAAGTCACCCTCAAAGTATGGTTTATGAATATGGTTCATTTCAAACAGGTCACCAAGAGTAAAGAAAAGAGAGAAGCGATACTAACATTTATTGTTCCAATGCACCTTGAGCCCTTTCATGTAAATAGTCTTCATAACTCATATATACCAGAGAATGAGTGAGACATCAGCATCCCCACAAATACAGCTAAATTGTTATTGAGGAACATGATTTCAAAGATATTAAGTATGTTTGTCAAAAATATGGTGGCTTGTCATTTAGTCACAAAGAAGCCCACATAAGGGTGAATCAAAATTCAGTGTTCAAATGACATACTAAACTCCAAGTAACAAAAATGGGAGTAGAAGCATCCATTATTCCCCGGGTCATCCGGGGGGGGGGGGGGGGGGGGGGATTGAGATAGTGGGGGGAGAACAGCATTGGTACAGAAAATCAACTTATTCCTTTCACAATAAACCACTGCTTACCCTGATCTTTAAAGGTACTGTTCACAACTTTTGATCAAGGTTCTATTTGTTGTGGTTTTCCCTGACAGAGAGAGCTCTATAGAAAGTGTATGGCTTGTGTAACTCTTTTCTTCTACTTTCAGGAGCTCCCTGCTGAAAAGGAGATTCCAAAATTTATTTATTTTTATTTATTTACTCTATTTCTATACCGCCCTTCTCAGCCCGAGGGCGACTCAGGGCGGTTCACAAAATGGCACAATTCAATGCCACAGTAATATAAAAACAGCTAAACGCATATAACATACATAAAATTCCATGAACAGTAAAATCAATAAAGGCATAACTCCTCCACATCTCAATACCAAAATCGTTATCCGATCACAATTGTCCAGTCGTTCCGAGGTCAAGAAGTTATCTGCTACACTGCATTTGAGAAAGCCTGCTCACAAAGCCAGATTTTGACTTTTTTTACGAAATATTAAGAGAGTGGGGGCCGATCTAATGTCCCTAGGGAGGGTGTTCCACAGCCAAGGGGCCACCACTGAGAAGGCCCTATCTCTTGTCCCCACCAACCGAACCTGTGAAGAAGGCGAGACCAAGAGCTGGGCCTCCCCAAAAGATCTTAAATTCCTAGATGGTTCATAAGGAGAGATATGTTCGGATAAGGAGAGATACGTTCAGATAGCAAAATCTTTAGTTATCACTAAAACCACAATGGAACCACAATTGACTCTCTACTGTTTCCCAAGATTATGCCTTAATCCTTAACTTCTCAAGTAAAGAGACTGGGAATTATACTGTCAAAGTGGATGGCCTCCTTTCCAAATCTCAAACAAATATGTTGTTCAGTGGTGAGATAATTCTATTCTGCGGACATAACCAAGCATGTTTGCCTATTCAAAGCATAGCTCTCAGACACCTTGACTCGCCGTACTACAACGAGCCCTTGGTATCTGCTGGAGTTTTGTTCCAGTACTCCCATGGAGAACAAAACCCATGTATATTAAAGTGCCATTTTATATATATATATATATATATATATATATATATATATATATATATATCCATACACACACACAGAGAGAGAGAGTGAAATATTGTTCCTTATTTTAAAAAACCCACCAAAATCAAGCTTTACTTTTGGTATTTGTAAAACCAATATATTGAAGCCATGGATGGTTTAATCTGTAGATGTAGGATTCATGTACGTTACTGAGGGCCAACTACATTTTGCTCTTCCCAAACATGTTCATTTTTCCAAAGCAGAGCTCTTGCACATTATGACTTGGCTTTTCCTGAACATGTTATCTTCTGCACAAATATTTATGGCACAAAGTGTCTTTCTTGTCTGGCACTAGATAGCCACAAACTCACTGTCAAATCCTTTTCTCTCAGCTTTAACCCCCAATCTGCACAAGACAGCTAAATAATGGACTGTATGCATTTGACATCAGATACATGGCTTTCAGAATAATAAGTTTTTTCTTCAATGTCTTTAAAGTACAGCAGATTTTTAAAAGAACAAAAAATAGCACAAAACTAAAATATACATCAAATATGTGACTCAACAAATTCTTGTTCCCTTTCTACACCCCTTATGAACCCTCCACCAACCACCACCCAAAACCACAAGGCAGAAAAAGAAACTATATTAAAGGCAAACAAACTTCAATATGATGCATCTTAAACCACTGACCTTCTGTGTTTAGTATATGCTTATTCTTGTGTGTGGTTTTGTTTTTGTTCTGTTTGGTTATAGTTATTTCTCTGAATTCAAAACATTTACTTTAAAAATTCTATTTAAAAATAACATATGTAGCATAAGTTATCTGGCCATGGAGGCAGCTCAAATTGCCTAGATAAGCACTAGCCTACCTTCCAACTCTGCAAGCCTGATAAGACAGCCTGATAAGACAGAAAGACGAGTAGAGAAACTTCAAACAATTTATGTTGTGTAGGTCACCAGCTACATTGTGCCAAAAAACTAAAAAAAAAATCTAAAAAGAAAGCCCACCAGTAAGAACAAAAAAAAAAAAAGTAAAGACAGACACAAAGAAAGTGACCAGAGGGCATATTCTAAACTTTCACAAAGAAATAATACTAATTTTCCCAGGGAACATCCCAGATATTGACTCTATCCAATTGCCACCATGAATGCAGAAAGGAATCCGAGATGTATTTTAGTGTTCCCCGAGGAAATGCCTTCCCTAAGAAGTCCACTCAAATGAAGGCATGCCAGGGGCTGCTGGTGATGTTTTGAAAGCTTGCAAAACAGCGCTGTAAGAATATGTAATTACAAAAAAAAAAAAAAAAAAATTCCATGCACCCTCCGAAGATTAAAATATAACCATCACCATTCTTGCACATGAAGAGTACTCTTGCACAACTAGCTAATGGCACATAGAGTAGACGCCCAGCTAAACAGAACCCAAACAACTGAAGCTCTCAAGCAATTGGGGGGAAAAACAACCCTGTATTTTCTGGCATATAAAGACTACTTTTTAACCCAGGAAAATCTTCTCAAAAGTCAGGGGTTGTCTTATACACTGGGTGTCGTCTTATAGGGTGGGTGCTGAAACCTCTGAGCCGGACTGGAGAATCTGCTGTCGCCACATACCGTATGAAAGCAGCAAGGGTGATGCTGTACAAGTATGGTAGAAGAAAATCCACTCACCAGGATTCGTGGAAATAAGTGACTTAACATGGTTCTGATGATGAGGTGAGGGGGCGCCTCACCATGAAGGTGTAAGTGAAGGCGGAGCAAACTGCAAGTGTCTGGGACACCCGGGGTATCAAAAAAAAGAAGATAGAGCAGCGCTGTGCCCAGAAAAACGTGCCTCTTTCGCCCGTCTGGCCCACCCTTGTATCCTATTGCCTCTCAGATTTCGTTCCTGGGGACTGCAGTGAAGCAGCGCAGGCGCACATGTGCGAGATCTGAGAGGCAGAGAAGGAAGTATGGTAATAGGAACATTACCAT